GCAGTACAAGAAACTATAAACTGTCACAGACCTAGCGACGCAACTTTTATATATTATATTTTGAAACTAGATAAAACTCTACACCTTTTGAGTTCTGAACGAAATTTTTACACTGCTTTTTACTTGACGAGAAGAAGAGAACAAAAGTGCATCTTTCTTGATGGCTCATTCAATATAAGGCAGTTTTAGTAGTCGACATATAAATACGCTCTTTGATAGTGACTGTTCTCTTACATTTCATCTTAAGAAGAAAAATTGTTTTATTTCTCTCCGTTTCTTTATCACTGAAGTGGCTTGATATATTACGCGCATTGTGTAATACTAATAATTTCAAAGTGTAAAAGAACGAAGTCTTATCTAGAAATTATGAAAGTTTTCTTGTACATTTACCTAAGCTTGTATACATCAGATAACTGTGTTTGTAAGAGAACTGTGTTTTCAAAGAGATATGTGTGAGTGAAAAACGAGAAATATTCACTACAATCACATAAAAGATATCAATTTATTTTAGATGAAAATAAAAAAAAAGTTCTACTCATTCGACTTATTCACTCTCTAAAAATGTCCTTTAATATTTGCCAAACTTTGAAAACGGTAGTTTTTCGGGAGAAGGATTTAGAACAATTATTAAATGCTTACTATTTTTACGCAATTTTTTGACTGTTTATAATAACTTTTCGCTCTGTATCTTTATATCCACTGACTACGGTATGTACCAGAATGACTTGATCCTGTCCTCTGAATAGATTTTTGATAGAATTTCAGCACATCTTGTAGGTTTTATGTATGCTGTAATTTAAAAATAAAAACTAGATATTTTTGCAAAATAACCCTTATTAAAGCGTGTTGTGTACCAGAGGTGGGCGATGGACTATCTTTAGCTCCCTTGCGGGGATCGCCTCGCAGACTTCCTGCCTCGTCATCTCCCCGTACCTCGTCAAGTTTCGAGAAATCTACTTCGCGGAGATCACGCCGTATGCTTTTCTGCCCCGTCACCGCCTCGTCCATCGTCAACTATTGATATAATTATATATGTACAGGGCACGTAGTAGGAAGACAGATGAAAAGATAAAAAAAGTTAGAAATAACCTTTACAATATATAACTGTTAGAGTTTTATCTTCAACCTGAGGAAACTGCTATGTGTGTGGTAGATGTCATGTACTAAACAAACATATTTTTCAAGTAAACTGAAAAGAATGCCGTTCAACGTCTCCTTTTCGCCTTTCTTTAAAAAGAAAAAAATGTCCCCTGCGAGGCTCGCCTCGTACAGTTTTTCTTTTTTAAACTTTAACTCTCATCTCTCCAGTCCGATGGCATTGAAATCGAGTTACCTCATTGCATCTGTGTCCAGAGGTACCGAGCCAATGAGCATTAGATAGCTTGTCCAAGACTATTACGCGACCGCCGTTGCCAGGATTCGAACTCCGTATGTTTGAGGTACGTTGTCTGCCCACTAGCCGACTGAGTCTCTTGCCTCGTCATCGCTCTGTGCCTCGTCCAGCTTTTAAAAAATCTCTTTCGCTAGGACCGCCCCGTGAGGAACCACGTGGCCTCGAGAGGATCCTCGTCCATTGCCTACCTCTGTGGTGTTTGACTACTGCACTAAAAAAACTATTTGTTCTTCGGCATTTTCCTTGAAAGAATTAGTTTTCTGTTTTGGACTACAAAAATGATCTACGTTTTTTAAATTCTCCGTCCAGAATAGTGACGGTTAAATCCAGTCAGTTTTTGACTGACAATCGTGCAAAAGATCTCAAGAAAAGAATAGTCTTCTATTCTTTGGAAGTTACCTTAGAGCATCTATTTGCGCTAGAAATGCAATTTTCGTCACACCTAGAGAAAAGTGTATCATTAAAAGTCTGTAAGTTCTGGATTTCAGCTAAACTAATTTACTAACATAGGATTAACCCGAATCCACTTTCTTGCTTCATTCACGCCGCGCGATTGCTCAGAAGTCACTGTTGTCGCAGCGCGAGGGCGATCACCTCTTACTTTTCGAAAATTTGTAATTCACGATCGCGAAGCGACAATAGCAACTTTTTAGTCATCACGGCTTGACTTCGCGACCCGAGCGCGATCACTGTAAGAAAAAATTATCACGCCCCGATCGCTTTTCTCAATTACAACCACGATATGACACAGCGTCGCGGCGTGACTCATATGCAAATCCTATTCACCGTTTTGGTTTGCTTATGCGCCTAGTATACAACTCTCACTAATTTTTCGAAAAATTTTCAAAATCTTATCACGTCTTAATAACAGCTTACGGTATGACTAATATAGTCTTGCGTAGTCGCGTCTCGCGCACGCCATTAGTCGGCGTTCGCGGTAAAAATAGCGTGGCTTATTTACTGATATTAGATCGAGATCCTTCTGTTGGTCGACGTCCGATTTTCTAATATTATATGCAAAGTGACTTTTTCTCGAAAATAAAAAAGTTTACATATCGAAACCCATGGACAAACTGCAAATTTCCCATGAACTTTGAATGATATTTTCTGAAAACTACAAGTATTTATTTAATGATATTTGATAGACTTGTACAATGTGAAAAGTAGATTTGATTGCATAGAAATGAAGTTTCGAAAAGGAAATGTAAAAAAAGTTTAGGCACTTTGATCTTAGAAACGCTATTTTCACTCATTAAAAGTCCATAAATTTGACTATGAGTTATTTCTCAAGTATTAGATCCTGAGTGAAAATGGATTATATATTTGTGTTTAGCTGATTCAAGTGGTCTCCTGGGTATAATAACTCTTTCCACCATTTTTTGAAAAAAAATGCGCGTGTCAGAGCAGGTATGCGTACTTATGAGTCCTTGATGTTGTGAAAGAAACAGCGTTCTTATTTGCTGAGCAAAATATGCATTCATAGGACTCATTCAACGCAGGTTTTGATGTTCTATAAAGTGAGCTATAAGTAGCTTTTACTTAACGCGTTAATTTGCACATAAACTCAAAATAATCGCAATAGTACTTGTACTTGTAAGTGTAAGTACTTTTCAAGATGTTTTTCAAGTTTCATCAGAGTTGTGAGACTGCATTAGACCTCAATTCGCTTCATTTTATAGAGCATTGAAACTTGCGTCGAATGAGATCAATAGATGCATATTTTGCTCAACAAATTAGAACCCTGTTTCTTTCACAACATCAAGTACGCGTGCCTGCTCTGGCGCATTTCCTTTTATCGATATTGCTTTACAGTGTAATTCTGTCATCCCTAGTGAATGTACTTGCGTACAAGTACTTGCTTAAGCAATCGAGAAGTACCGGTGAGAAGTGCAACAAGTAAAGCAAGTATTTGGTAAATAATTATCGCGTACCACTTCACATAAATATTTACTAAATGCTTGTCATGTATAGGGGTGGCACTCTCTCGTTTCTTTCCCAAAAAAAGAAAAGTAAAAACTGACTTTCCTTTCTGTTTTAGAAAAGGAAAGTTTTTACTTTCTTACTGTTCTTTCTCAAGAAAGAAATGGAAAATATATAACTATTTTCTTTTGTGTTTTTCTTTATGAAGAAAGCACTTTGAAGCAAGAGCAAGCCCACACTCATGATTAGCGTCGAAAACTGAATCAGATGATGTATTTTCAGAAAGTTTTCGCAAAATATATCACTCGATTCAGTTTTCGACGCTGATCATGAACATGAGCCTGATTTTGCTTCCAACTGCTCTCCCCATAAAGAAAAACACAAAAGAAAGTTATATATTTTTCTTTTTTTTCTTTTTGGGAAATAACGGTAAGAAAGTAAAAACTTTCCTTTTCCAAAAGAAAGGAAAGTCAGTTTTTACTTTTCTTTTTTTGGGAAAGAAACGACAAAGTGCCATCCCTAGTCAAGTGCTCAAAGAGGTTTATAAGTAAATAAGTGCTCGGTCGCAAGTACATTCACTAGAGGTAATTTTAGGCAAAAAATTATAAATGAAAAGATTGCTGCTCATTTTATTTTCGGTTAGTGGCAGTTTAGTATTGACAATCTATATTTTCCAGTTACAACATTTAATATTGTCCAACACGTTAATGCAAAATAAATTTGATTATTATTTATGTACACAAGTAATGGATGAGGAACAATTTCTTCCCGAATGGCTAGATTACAATATGAACATTTTAGGTTTCAAAAATATTTGTATTATTAACGTTGGCAAAAACATTTCAGTTAATATTACGTCGAAATATGATGTAGCGTATACAAGTCATCACAATAGTACAAAACAAGATTTTAATTTATGTAAAAAATGTTTTACCAGTATTAAAAGTCAAGATCTGTTATTGATTCAAGATATTGATCAATTTTTAAATGTCCGTGATTCAACCTATCTTACGAAGAATTACGATCGATATGATGGTTTCTATTTCCACGATATGAGATTTGGCTATGTTAAAGATAAGACAAATGAGATATTTAATAACAAACAATCAAGGGTAAGCTAAATAAGAAATGAATATTTTGGTTAAAATTTTAACACTATCGGAGCCGGGGAAGCTAAACGGATGATAGTACTTTCATCACATAGACAAAAGACCTTTCGTCACACTAATAACAATGGCAAACAGCACAGTTTTATTATTATATTCAATCCGTTGTTGAATGTAAAAGACTTTAGCTCCTTGGGTTTTAAACGGATTTGATAGAAAGGTCCCCCAAGTCCATCAAAAATACCTTGACGTCCGGGCTTAAGTTCAAGTCCGGACTTGCCCACATATGGCCGTGTCACCTATCTAAAAAACCAGACACTTTCGTCAAAAAAGGGGCTACTCTTGTAACCACTTTGTAAACATAGCTAAACTTTCATCACATGCTGGAAGGAGTTTTGTTTCTAAAAATGAGAACTTCCGTCATGTGACGCAAGTTCAGCGTTACTCGAAGACGAAAGGGTACGGTGGGGAAAGTGCTATGAAACAGACAAACAGCTCTTTTTTTAGTCAGGGAATTTTTAGAAAACGGGAGGATGACAGAATCTTGATCTAGCGTTTTTGCATACGACGCCTGCCATTGAACTCTCATCAATTAAGCTTTAATATTCTTTTTCCAGGAAATTTTATAGTCTAAATCCTTGCAGCAGATTTCCTGTTAAATAAATTATTTGTAAGTAGAATTGTTACTGTTGATTTTTGTTTATTCTAGTTTCCTATGTTGACCACAAATACTTATCGAGGTCTAATCAAAACTTTAGATGGAAGTAACGGTAATCAATCAGATCAGTCATTTAATTGTTCAGTCCGAGGTGGCTGGAATTCATGTAATGTTGGTAACGGAAAAACAATGATAAAATATGGGCTTATTTCTAGTTTAGGGCCTCATTTTCATCAGACAACGAAAAACAAAAGCAAAATATTACATGTTGATATGAAACAAATGAGACTGAATCACTACTATGTGAGATCAAAAGAAGATGGAATATTAAAAGGAAAGAAGTGGAACAAACTTCAGTCAATGTTGGGCATAATAGAATCGAATAATTTTTTTAAAATGACCTATGATGACACGATACTCACATCGAAAACGTTAAAATGAAAACGTTGGAAGAATGTTTAAAACTTTTGTTATCCAAGATGTCTTAATAACTGAGCATCTTTCATTTCAGAGATCGACGATATGTCACTGTTTCAAGTTAGAGTTAGAGTAATAAAGAGTCGGATAAAAAGCTAGCTCGACTTATTTTCTCAAGGTATACATCGAGTCATTCATCCAAGAACAATTTTCAGCTTCTTTTGTTTTAAGCATTTGTTGTACTCATTCTATTTAACGTTTTCTACGTGTTATCTCATTTATTTCTTTTTCATGTGAAAAATGTTCGACTCGTGACTCAGATTCATCAATCTGTCTCAATTTCCATGAACTCAATCGTCTGATGAGTGAGTTTAAGAAAGATTATTCAATCGTAGATGGACAAATCCATCGCTTTTTTACTCATGCAATAAGAGACTGAATCACTACTATATGAGATCAAAAGGAGATGGACTGTTAAATGGAAAGAAGTGGAAAACCCTTGAATCAGTGTTGGGCATAATAGAATCTAATAACTCACGTCGAAAAAGTTAAAATGAAAACATTGGAAGAATGTTCTAGAGTCCGGACTTGCGCTGTTTTCTAGCCTGATCCAAGTTGTATTTGTGCTGAAATTTTCGTGTCTCTAACTCAAGCCGTTAGAAAATAACACACTCAAGATTAAACGCTAATTGATCCTAATTCACCACTAAAAAAATGATAATTTTTCTTAAAACTTGAATATCTCAGTAACTACTTGGGTTGTAGAGTTGCGATCTAAAACTTACTATTGATTGTACTTTTGACCTATGTAACTGAAATCAAGTTTGGAGAAAGTTGGTTGATCACGGTTGGTCGTGCAATGGCTCTTAAAATAAAAATATACGTGTATAGCTGTAACACTTTTACACTCTATTACCTTTATTGTTGTTGTTGTTGTTGTTGTTGCTCGGTGGTACAAAGTTCACTCATTATGTTATGCACCACTGAGGTTATAATAATAGTAATCGAAGAGAAGAAGAAGAAAAGAATACTTTTATGTGAACAGTCACTGTCATGTTTTTTGGAAGACCATTTGAAGAACATGAGAATAGGCGCTATTTTATAAATTAATGAGAGGAGAGTCGCCGAGCTGGCTTTTGCCTAGAAAACCAGAACATTCTTTGCATAGTCTTCGTAGTCACAACCGAGACATAACTGAAACAAGCAGAAAGATTGAAAGAAGACTAGAATGAATTAGCTACTTTATATCCTGAGCCGAAATGAATAAAACCCAATGAACTTCATAATAAAAATTAAGTAACACAAGAAGTAGTAAAACTTTAGACTTTTGAAACTTTCATCTCGAACGTTCGAACTTCTGTATGTATGCTTAAAAGCAGACCTCGCGCAACTGAAGAATTATCTGTTGGGGTGAGTCTGTGTTGATGGAGATGCGAGTGACCATATTCACCGAACCGTGTTTGCGATATTCTCATACAAACATTTGTTGTCTTTTCGATGTTAAATGACTTATGAAGGGCCCTGAAGTGTGTCCCAAGATTTTTTAATATACTTCAAGCTAGAGAGTTCGAATTTGTTTTATTTTAAACTAGACACCGGACTACATGGACTACCAGGCGCCGATTTTTCAATTAAGCCTTTATTGGTTTTCCAGGTAACCAACTACCTCCAAAATCCGAAAAAGCCTTCCAGATTTTCTAAAAATCCTCAGTTTGACAAAAAATTAGGACCTAATTTAAAAATCGGCACTTGTCAGTCGATGTAGTTTCTTTTCCTCTTTTAAACAAAAAAAGAATGAACTGTCCACGATAAACCGCTATTAAAAGTCCTGGGACACACTTCAGGTATAACGTCCATCTAGAGAAAACGCTGTATAAAATGCTCAGTTTTAGGACTTCTAGGAAAATGCCTGTATGAAAATGCAAGGTCATACAGAGTTGTGCGAGACCTTATTTTGATCAGAAACGTTTGCTCTACAAATCTATGTGTTCAGAAAAATTTTAATTGTATAAGTATCCAGGAAAAAGCTGTTATTTGAAGACCCGGTTTTTCGAGGCTCCTAGAAACTTGCTCAAAATCCGCGAAAAATCACTTTTGTAACCTAAAGCAATTCAGATTCTGAAAGTCAACACTTCTGGCTATCTTTCCATGTGCGTATCTCAAAACCGATTTTTTGACCGGAAATCACGATTTCTGAGGGGGGCCCTTAACAGAAAAAAAACAATTCGAGTCTTCACAATACGATGACGATGAAGACATTCAATACCACTTAACAATTGATAACAATAACTCTATAGATAACAATTAAAGATTTATTAGATTCAGTCGATAATTTTACTTTAACAAGTTTAGGACTAAGTCGTTCACCAGATCCAAGCGCATCCATATATCTCTTTAGGAAAGAAATAGAATAGAAGGAGAAGAAAGAAAGAAAAGAACGAATATCGTTAGTTGTTATATATCCACACGTGTTCCAATGCGACCTCGTTTTCCTGATCATAACATGTTCGGCATTTTTCAATAAAAATCGGTGGTCAAAATATTCTAAATCATTCATAGTTTCTCTTTATAGATCAACTGATGGCTTCTAAACCTAGAAGTACTTCGTGTCATTCAACTCAACGTAATAATAGTAACCATTAGAAAATTTGGTGCTTGCTCCGCGCTGAACCAAATTGGGTAAACATTGGGCGCCAAATGCAAAATTTGTCGGTGAATCCGACAGCGGGTTCCTTATAATTACATCTTCACTTCTTTTTTGGCGTCGACATAATC